ACTAGGAATGGTGATGATGTTTGTACGAGAGTGAGTTACTTTTTTACCCATGAGTAAAGACGAAGAAAAATTAGAAGAGAAGCAACAATGATAGTACATTCGATAGCATTCGATGAATGTCTGTAGGGAGCTGAAAGACTAAGACAAAAAAAATACTTAACATCCTATTTTTACAAGAATCGTTGAATGGTAGAAGGGTGATTTGAGTGATTACTATGCCTACTTCAATATCTAAAATCCGTTGGGGTACAAATTACCCTATCCGTTAGAACTTTAGAATCTTTATTTCTCACAATTTATTTTAAAAATTATACCTTTAAATATTTGAAATTAACCTTGACATTCCGCATGTATAGTTTGGTGGCCGTTGTTAGGTCCAAGATCCTCAACCCTATTCAGGATCCTAGATCGTCAAGATCTTTTAGGATCTCGAACCTTTCTCAAGATCCTAACCATTGTTATTTTTGTTTCCTAACACTCTTAATGGTCATATTTGTAACAGAACAAAAACTAGATTAAAAATTTTCATTTAAAAAAACAAAAGAGTTACAATCATCACATTGTTCAAAAAGCAACCCATAATAATGTCAAATCATCAGAGTATAACATCAAAAATACGGAAAATAGTGAGGAGTGAATGATGCGCCATCAAGTCGGACCCTTTCCTTTAGTACTGAAAGTACCTGAAAAAACAAGTATAAACGGTAAGCAAAAGCTTAGTGAGTTTACCAAACATACAACATACATAAAACATATAATATCCATGGGCTACCCCATGGTCTTTTCACGCAATGCCGAGGGCCAAATCCCAGTCATACATATGAGTGTCATGGGCTACCCTATAGTCTTTCCTTGTGATGCCGAGGGCTAAATCTCAATCTTAAATACAAGTGTCATGGGCTACCCCCATGGTCTTTCATACAACTATCACAAAGGCAACAAACATTCCACACCCAAGCCAAAAGAAGCAGCGTGCTTCCATTGTCATGAAAAAGGGCATTGGAAACGAAGCTGCCCTAAATACATGCAGCATATTAACGATGGGAAGATAAAGCCCACCTTCACAGATATTTACAATATTCAATCTAATAACTCACCATATGATAGTTCTTGGGTTATTCATACACGATGTGGTTTTCACATTTGTTCTGATTTGCAGAGTCTAAGAAGAAGTAGGGATGTGGAGCACAGGAATATGAACTTGATCATGGGGAATAGGAAAGCGCCGCATGTCACCAATATTAGAGTTTATTCTTTATTGCTTAATAGTGGGTTAGGTCGAGAGTTGAATAATTGTTGTTACGTTCCAGATATGGCGAGAAAGTTTATTTCTTTTCAGTGTTTGTATAAACAAGGTTTTAGATTTTCATTTAACAATGAAATTCGCTTTATTAATGCTATTTATAATGGTAAATTTTATTTCGAAACATTTCCTTGTCCAGGTATATATGAAACGGTGATGGTTGTAGAAAACATAGGAAATAACGTATTGCATGCTGATTCGTCCAATGGTTTGGACATGGCATGCTTGTGGCATTGTCGTATTGGACATGTCAACAAGAAGCGCATAGCCTAAATCCAAAAGGATGAAGTGTTGGAATCATTTGACTTAAAGTCGGATGACATGTGCGAATCTTGTTTGCTTGGAAAGATGACCAAGTCACCTTTCACTAGTACTTGTGAAAGAGGCGAGGGTCTGTTGGATCTCATACACATCGATGTGTGTGGAACCTTCAGATCCACCACAAGGGATGCTAACCACTTCTATGTAACCTTTACTGATGATTATAGCAGATGTGTATATGTCTACTTAATCAAGCACTAGTCGGAAACCTTTGAAAAGTTCATAGAGTTTAAGAAATAAGTGGAGAATCAATTGGGCAGGAAGATAAAAATGCTTTGATCCTATCGAGGTGGTGAGTATCTTAGTATCGAGCTCCATGACTATCTTAAAGAATGTGGAATTGTTTCACAATTGACGTCAAATAGGACACCACAACTTAATGGTGTGGCTGAGAACCTTTTTGGACATGGTTCGTTCCATGATGAATCAAGCTTCATTACCTATCTCATTCTGGGGGTATGCCTTAGAGATTGCCACCCATATCCTTAATCTAGTCCCAACTAAGAAGGTTGCCAAAACACCTAGCAAAATGTGGATAGGGAAGGTTTCCTCGTTAGCACATATCAAGGTTTGGGGTTGCAAGGCTTTCGTAAAATGAGAGACTCACGACAAGCTCGAACCTCGAAGTGAGCATTGTATCTTCACCGGCTACCCACAGAAATCCTTTGGATATGTGTTCTATAGACCTAATGAAAACATGGTATTCATAGCGCGAAGGGGTGTCTTTCGTGAAAGAGAACTCATTTGCCAAGAGGATAGTGGGAGGAAAATTGGCCTTGAAGAGCTTCAAGAGTTAAGCAATAAAGGAGCCTCTAACACTAGCAATCAACAAGAGGATGAGACTCATGTTGAACCAATTGACGAGTCTGTACCTCTAAGACATTCTAGTAGAGTTAGTGTTCTACATGTCTTACATGGTTTTCATATAATCAGTGAAGGTGATACGTTTATTAGTGATAGTACACTAATAAATATGGATGAACCTAACAACTACAAGGAAGCCATGGCAGGCCCAAAGTCTGCAAAGTGGAAAGAGGCAATCGACAACAAGATTCAGTCCATGTATGACAATCAAGTTTGGAACTTGGTTGAAAATGTACCACATCATAAGACGGTCAGGTGCAAATGGATCTTCAAGAAGAAGACCGACATGGATGGGAAAGTACACACATATAAATTGTGGTTGGTTGAGAAGGGGTTTACTCAAACTCCTGGAGTTAACTATGATGAGATCTTCTCACCAGTAGCGAAGATCAAACCTATAAGGGTTATGCTAGCCATAGCTACGTTTCATGATTATGAAATATGGCATATGGATGTTAAAATCGCTTTCCTTAATGGGAAGTTAGCTGAATATGCTTACATGAGTCAGCCAGAGGGTTTTGTAGATGCAAAATACCCTAATAGAGTGTGTAAGCTTGAGAAATCCATTTATGGATTAAAACAAGCGTCTCGCAGATGGAATCTTTGTTTCGATGAGAAAGTCAAAGAGTTTGGTTTTTCGAGAAGTGCGGATCAGTCCTGTGTATATGTAAATACTAGTGGGAGTATAGTTAGCTTTCTGGTATTGTATGTGGATGACATACTATTCATAGGAAATGACATTCCAACCTTGCAAGTAGTTAAGTCCTGGCTTGGGAAGTGTTTCTCTATGAAGGACCTCAATGAATTTTCTTACACTCTAGGGATAAGGATACTGAGAAATAGGAGTAAAAGACTAATAGGACATAGTCAAAGTACCTACTTGGACAAGGTGTTGAAACGTTTCAACATGGAGAATTACAAGAAAGGAGAATTACCTATCCAGAGCAATACCAAACTGAGTAAGACTCAGAGTCCGAGTACCGATGCTGAAATTGCAGAAATGAGTCGAATAGTATATGTTTCTGCCATGGCTTGATCATGCATGCTATGACATGTACTCGCCCTGATGTGGCTTTTTTTATGATCATGGTTAGTCGATATCAAGGAAATGCTGATAGAACTCACTCGATAGCAGTAAAGTACATTCTTAAGTACCTGTAGAGGACTAAGGACTGGGTTCTTATGCTCGGTGGCAGTGATAACTTGAGAGTGACAGGGTATAGTGACGCCAGCTTTCAGACCGACCGAGATAATTTCCGCTCTCAGTTGGGTTGGGTATTTACACAAAATAGAGGAGCAATAACATGGAAAAGTTCCAAAAAAGAGACTATAGCTAATTCAACGTGCAAATCAGAGTACATAGCAGCAAGTGAAGCGTAAAAGGAGGCAATACGGATGAAGAACTTCATCAGAGACCTTGGAGTTGTACCAGATGTAAAGGAGCCTGTGGAGATTTTTTGTGACAACGAGGGTGCGGTCTCCTTAACTAAGGAACCAAGGGATCATGGCAGATCCATGAACATCGACATAAAAGATCACTTCATAAGACATCGAGTAGAAGAGGGACTCCTCGTAGTAAAAAGGGTATCGTCAGAGGAGAACCCAATATATCCCTTTACAAAGGGACTCAGTAAGGTTAAGCATTTTCAGCATGCTAAGAGCATTGGCCTAAGAGACGATATTAGTTTTACTGATTAGATAGATAGTTAGAAACTTGTCATAAATAAATGTAATTGACATTCGATGATTAAATAACAGGGATTTTATTTATAAGTAAAGCTCACTGTCTTTTGTCAATTGTTTACTTTATGTTTCACTTTTGCATGTTTTAACTTCCAGGATAATATGATTATTCGAACTATCCATAGTCAATCATACTTTGGAAGTAAGCCATGAGGTTATACTTTCATGAATTGGCTTCTAGAGTGTCTAAAGTTTTTAGACATACCAAAAGTTTGCTACAATGTTCATGAGTGCTCCTGAAATAAGATTTGAGTATTGTATTAAACCCACGCTCACATGAATCACTTCATGGAATTTATCACTAGTGATTGTGAGAAGATTATATCGTATAGTCTTCAAACCAAGATATATGAGTTTTTGATTATGAGTTGGTTGTGCATTGATAGTATGAAAATGCATCAATAGCTTGATGTTATAAAACATGTTGTTGTGTATAATTTAACAAGCAATTAGTACAAGCATATAAGTCGAAGTTTATGTGTTCCTTTTATCCTAAGAGGAGTAAAAGCGATATATTGGGCCCCTCGATGATTTTTTTGACTCATGTGTCGGGCCCGGTCAGGACTCAATTGATGTGTTCAATTAAGTTCTATGTCAAACAAATCAAAAATCAAGAAACCAACTGTTGGACAATGAGTATGACTTTATTCCATGTCTTTGTCCACGCAATATCTTGAAGAATAGAGGATTATATGATCCCTTATCTAAAGGATGAATTGTTGAATCTAATATGTATAAGGCTAAACAAGATGTCCCTTTTCATCAATTGATGGTGGAACAGAACTCCATCGACCTGCATTGGCTCTTGAGAAAAAGAATATCCATCTTTGTTCGTGCTCTTCTCAGTTTGGAAGATTTTGGTAATATAAACGCCTCAGTTCAGATAACATATATCCGATTGGGTCTTCTCCAAGATTTTAAGAAAATGAAGGATAATTATTTCGATGAACTATCTAAGAAGGGCCTTCTATATTCTTACCTTGATATTGAAGATATACTACTAAAGTGCTTTTGTGAGCTACTCAACAATGGTTATTCCCTTTTGCTAATGACGGATGCAGAGGCTATTAATATGGGATCTTTAAAGAAACATATTGAAGACATTTGTCCCCCAGATAATGGGGTTGAACATGGTAGATCTTCTAAGTAGTGGGTGCTCCTATTTGTCATTATATTTTGTGTTTGTGTTGTTTGATGTGTTTGTTTTTCTAAACTTGACGCTCTGTGCACTAGTTGTAATGGTAATGTTTGACTATGTTTTTGTTCGATTAGGTGTCTAAGACCATAACTATAATTGGTATGTACATGACCTGATAGTAGCATGTTCTTTTTGGGTTGTCTTCACCAGATCAATTTGATAGGATGGATATTTGAGAAAGAGGTTATTTGTGATTTATTCATATATTATATGAATAATATATTAATTGAGAAATCATATTATTTAATTAGTATTGATCAAGAATTAATTTGGAATTAATTTAGTGATAAAAAGAGAATGATTAAATTTACGGGGACTGATTAGATAAATCAGTAATACTTATAGTTTGGGCAAATGATCCATGTTGATTAGGGATGGGCTAAACCTATATGAGAGTCCATGAAGGTTTATTCCAAATGGACTATGAAATGTGAAGAGTCATGGTAAATTAGGGTTTCATGTATGAAACTCTAGGAATTCCACACTATAAAAGTAACCCCCTAGCATCCATAAAATCGGCCATAAGAATTCCAAGGTGAAACCCTAGATGATTTGTGCTTCTTAACCCCTCTCTCATAAGCCTCCTTTTGCTTTTGGTGTTTCTAACTCATTTGAGGTATCACACTTGAGGTACTAAGCACTTGAAAGGCCAAGAACTACAAGCTACAACAAAGAGGTATTCATTTAACTAGTTTTTATGTTGTATATCTCCAATTGCATGCTAGCTAGGGTATATGCTTTGGATAAAATGGAATTGCATGTATAACTTTAGAAAACTTAGATCCAAAGCATCTAGGATTATATGTGCACCATAGGATTTTTATAGTGCTCAAAAGCCATCAATTTTTATCCCACTTCTTTTCAACCATATGTATATGTGGTCTGTGCTCATCCACCTCAAGAATATGTGTTATCGAGCATGTATTTATCTTCCCATATTCCTCATTCATATGCATGGGGTGCATTTTTGGGCCAGACAGTCCTACCATATCTCTGTTCCTAACTATTGTTGTTACTTGATGCATGTTTGTTGGAGGATCTAAAGCTTGCGTCGTTGTAATCGGACTTGCTTCATTGATCACATCGCTACCATTGACCATTTGGTGCATGGTCCCATGGATGGATCCACGTGATAAATCTCATATTTTTTAGTCTCTCTTAAAAGGGACAAGCATAGTTATGCCAAAGAGATCTAAAGGTCCATACCTGAATTACAACACAACCATTCAGGAGTTTACCGATAATGCATCTCGGGAGAGCGTTTTGATGGTTAAGTCATTCGATGACCTTAATTCAAATTCGATAAGTGTGTATCGAGTATTTGTATTTATGTACTTATGCTCTTTATTCTTATGATCTTTTTATATGTCTTTCATCGGGAATCATCACATCATCAGGCCGAATTGGTTTCGGTCTAATTGTCATTAATGATCTAACTACTAAAGGTATCAGAGATCATACTTAGGTAGAGTCAGTAGTCATGTCTAATGGATCATAAGTACTATCTTATTTTTAACGAAAAGCTATAAATGTTTATTGATATAATCGAGGTGCATCCGTCTTAATCTCGCCTTTTAGGATTCAAACGACACATTTTACCAGTGTTAGGTTCAGCTCAATCATCATCCAGGTCCAGTACTTCGGCATGCTATTATTTGTGATCAGTTTCAGTGGTCTGACCTTCCCTTGCTTAGTTCGGCCGATGTGCCTTCTTAATGGTTCTACCGGGAGACTTATATGGTTGAACGTGTATATATCTCATTAGTATTAAACGGTTATGAGAGAGAAATACAAATGGTTTATTAATTATTCATGTGATGATATGTTAATTAGAAATTGGTTTGGAATTAATTCAAAGTGTATGGACTAAATGTTAATTATTCAATAGTTGAATAATGGAAGGTTCTAGATCCCTAAAGATGTTGGATGAAAATCTCAACGGACAAGCCTAGGAGATTTCCAATTCAAATCTGTTTTTTTTTTCAAGAAACTAGAAACTATAAATACCCCTTCTTAGCTCCATATGAAATCGTCCCACTTTACATATCTAGAGTCTCTTCTCTCTTGATTAATTCCTTAGTCAATATATATTGTTCTAAGGGTTAATATTCTAACAATAATAATTTTGGATTGTTGATTGCGAACCATTGGATGCAATTTGCTTTGGATTCTATATTCCTTGGCTTGGTGATTTTGATTTCTAGCTCAAAGGTTCTTTAAGAAAATTGGTTTTGCTAAAGGTTAGTAATTTTTTATCTCTCTTGTCGTTGTTGATATTATTTCGGTTAAAGATCCCATTAGATTTTAGTTGTTTGCTTCCCATAGATTAATATACATGTTTTCGTTGTCGATTGATTATCTAGGGAAGTATACACACACACACACACACACACACACACACACACACACACACACATATATATATATATATATATATATATATATATAACTCATCAGTTACATAGTATAAGGGGGTCTCGATGACGGTGATGGTGGTAGTTTTTCTATGAAGATGTTGGTGGTGGTTTATGGTTTATTAGATGAAGCTTCCATGAGAAGAGGTTTTAAGGGTGATAATGGGTGTTTCTCTGATGAAAGCATAACGATGTTTGAGAGAAAATTGTGTCGTGAAAGTGTAAGAAAAGGGGTTTAGGGTGTTGGATGGGTCTATTTTACTTAATACATTAATATTTTACTCTATTTAATAATAACACAATAGTTATAAAGGTAAATAAATTTTATTAAGGGAAATAGGTCAATTCATGTCGGCCCGAAACAAAACGGAAACAAATTCAAACCGGTAGGGGTGTCCAAGCAAAAAATATAAGGGGTGTCCAAGCAATATATATATATATATATATATATATATATATATATATATATATATATATATATATATATATATATATAGAGAGAGAGAGAGAGAGAGAGAGACAAAATGTAAAGTTTTTCTCAAAGAACTTGGTTGATTAATATAATTTATTATTAGTCATATTTCCATAAATTTACCTTTCTTTGTTAAATGAGTTAATATCATAAAAGATTACATTAAATGAGTTAATATCATAAAAGATTCCATTAACTGTGTTTTTACATTATTAAAACTTTTTTTAAAAAAAACTTTTCTTATTCTTTTTTTTATTTGCATTTTTAACATTTTTTTTCCGAAAAATCTTGTCAAATTTGAGGGTTTTTAAAAAAAAAATACAATAAAAAGTTGAAGTTTTTTTTTTATTTTTTTTAGAACACAGTAAAATGTTAAGTGTTTTCCTAAAATAAAAATAAAAAATGGAAGACCTTTTTCATGAAAATAAAATAAACTAGAAGTTTAGTCTGAAAAAATGCAATATATATGTAAGATCTTTTATGTTATTAACCCTTATTAAAATTTTGAAATAAAAATTAAATGATTTCAAAAAAATTGCTTACTAAAAAATTCATCAACACAAATTAAATTATATCAATACCCAATAGCAAAAACTATCAGTAATGTAAAAATTGGTCTTGCGCCCAATTAAACGACACCTAAACGCTTGACGATCACCCTCTACCTATGAATAGTGGTAACTAGTCTAACTAGGCGGGCTCAGTCAAAGCTAGTCATCAATCAGGCTAGACAATCAAGATTATGTTGGAAATAGTGTCAAATGTCATCAACTAAATGGTTATATTTCTAAATAATAACAAGCCCCTTTTGGGTTATCCTCATGATACAAATGAGAAATTAAAAGAATAAGAAATGAGGAGAAAATAAGTTTATTACTTTATTAGGTTTAATAAATTAATCAGAAACTATTTTAGAATTAATTCACTCAAAGGGTTTACTATTAATTAGTTAAAAGATTAACTAATTGGAACATTCCAAAACCGTTAGGAAATACGGTAAATTTGAATTCACTATGTGAGGTAAAATTTGAAAATCATCTTCATCCCACATGGGATGAGAGATAAAATTTGACAAGATTTTAAGGCTATAAATAGTATAGTAAGTGTTTCAATCCTCCTTGCAACTTGACTTGAGACTTTGCCAACTTCTTCCCCTTTCTTTGGGATGGATTTCTTAACCATTCTTAGGGTTTGTAAGAGTTTGTCACACTCCTAGTTTTCTTTTGGTTCTCTCTTTAGAGTCTTGGGTTCAATTAGAGGGATTCTCTATTGGGTCCTCTTATCCAATAAACATGGTTAGATCACGAAGGACTCAAGAAGATCAAGATCAAGCTACAAAAAAGGTTAGTAATTCTGTCTTTCTTTGTAGATTTACAGTTTTAAAGTAGGTTGCTATAATTAGTAAAACCTAGATCTTATGGTGCATGTATATATAAGGAATTTTGATTATTCCGTTGCTAATCTAGTGTGTATATATGTATAAAAAATTTAAGATCCAAAAGATTAGTCAAAAAATGAAAACGGTCAAAATTATCAAAATAGAAAAATAAGTCAACAAAGTTTTAAAAAAGTAAAAACTAACAAAAAAGAAAATATGTGAATAGTAACTTAATTATCTTAATTTAAAATTCACATCTCTCTGTCTCTCACCATGCATGTGCCTATGTTTTTTTATATCTCATCACATCATCACTACTCTTTACGTTAGTGGAGGTCATTACGTTGCCATTTATAAGGCTTCTCTATTCACTCTTACATCTCACACCTTTCATTCAATGTCTTGAATTCTCCTTCATGGAGTCTCACATTCTTTTTTGTATATATATCGTCCATATGTACTTGAAATTATGTATGTATGTGATTTATAAATCAAAATATATACGTCTTTCTATCTCTGATTTCTCACGTACGTATTTATATCGTTGATTTCTTAATCTCTAATAATGTTATTCTTGCAAAACACGTAAATAAATTAGAATTTACATAAAATGTGATGTTGATTTCTAACCTCCCTCATTATGATAAAATGAATCAAACTATGTTATTTGGTACTATTTTTAAAAAAA